GGAATTAACTCGCATTTGCTTTACATGAAGAGGAAGCATCATATCAATTACACTGTACTCATAGAGGATCATATCAATTACACTGTACTCTTCCTGAACACACCTATACACTTCCAGAAATTTTGGAATATATAGAACCGTAATATCCTTCCAGCATGCTGAAACCATAATATAGTGCTAAGTTTAGCAATAGCTGTGAATTTTTGTAAGAATTAATAAACGGTACCGATTAAAAGTTTAGCGTTGAACCACTTTTTTAACTATAGATTGCATTAGAATAAAGTTTAATTAATATTTCATAGTTGATAACTATAACAAATTTTTACCGTTAACGATATTTCTTAAATTTTAATTAAAAGTTATAAAACAGTACTCTAAGAGAGTTGCTTTATTAAAATGTTAAATAATGTAGGTTTAAAAGATAATTTAAAAATACATAAATAAGTCTTAATGCACAAATAAAGAATATATGTAAATTCTGAAATAAAGCTTACGTTTCATTAAGTAATTAAACAATATTTTCCTCACTATACAATTGTTAATTTCATATTTACGTTTACGAATGTCATAATTTTCTATTGAAATGTTTCAGAAAGTAAAAACAAACAAATTCATAATAATTTCTTGTTTATTAACAGGTAATTAATATTTCATTGAATAAACAAATTACTCTTTGTTGGTTAATTTATTCACATTTATGAGCATTTTTGCGTATATTTCTACACAAAATTAACCGCGCTTTCAATAAATAGAAACACTGGCTTTAGTTCCCAAATGAAATGAGGTAGAACAAACTAAAAAATAAAATTGTAAGCACTTTCACAGCAGTATCCTGTGTTTGTTTACATAACGAGGCTCAAATAAATTTCTCTTTTGGTAATTAAGTTGTAGAGCGGGGTGAGTTAATTAGATTATCCTATTACAGACCAGCAACATTTAAAAATTTATACAACAAATGAAGTTTTTCTATGGTTCCATAATTAGAACTACATTTAGTCAGTCAGTTTTGTAAAAATAATTTCAGCTTGCAAATTATTTATCACGTGCTTTTGCTACTTATAAAAATTGCAGTATGCAGTGATTTTGAAATAATTTGTAAGATCCGGTTAACTTTTGTTTCCGGTAACAGGTTTTATTTAGAAATACTGATTTGTAAGCACTCTAAATATAAATGACTGCAAAATAAATAAAATACAAAAATATTGATTTTAATAATATAAAATATTGATTTAAAAGCAAAGCTCAGTTTTCAATGAAAATTTCTAAACTTTTCTTTGTGAATAAAATTAATCTTTTATAATGATGATGTACCCGGTTTCATAAAATATATAGTCTATATTTTTAGATTAATGTGAAATCATCTAATGTCAATAACCAAGTTAACATTGTAAATGGATAAACTTTTTTGGGCATAATGTTATAATTTTAATGATAAAATATTAATATGAAAAATTTTGTTGCAAAAATCTTTGTTACACATTGGCGAAAATGTATTTTAGTTTAGCATTCTTATGTTAAATTATAAAATGTATAAGCAATACTCTGATGATTGATTTAACATTGAATATAATAAAACAATTTTTTTGTAGCATAATGCTTAACTCTCTTTCCCAAAAATATTTGTATAAAAAGCAATCTGTTTCATTTACACATGTTTCTAGTTTTAGGAACATACATTTTAGCTTCAAAAATTTATGCTAAAATAGCTTATTAATAATCGATTTAACATAGGATGAAAAATACAAGAGTTATATTTTTTGCATAATGTCAATTTTTAGCAGAAATATTTGCATTTGAAAATAATATTTTTTTACATAAACCTTTTACTGGATTTAAGAACCATATTTTATTTTCATAACGTCTTGATTACCACTCATTGTTTAATCAAGATATTAAAAATTAATTTTTTAATAAAATCTGCGAGATTTTTATTTGCTGCGTTATATTAACTTATTTCTGCCTAATATATTTTGAAGCAAAAATAAACCATTTTGCATAAAGCTTTTTCCTCTTGGATTTAAGAATTATATTTTTAAAACTGAAAGATATAAATACTTGGCTTAGATACGCCAAATTTAACAATGGAGAGATAATGGGTCTTTATCATATTTCTATCGTTATCCAAAACGTAGGCTCAAAACAAAATCTCCCTTATTATGTGATATGATTTCCAGAATATTTGATGAAAATTTTTTCAAAATTTATCACTTTCGTTTTATGTCTTCCTAATTTTCTTTACTCGATTTGACATTTAAAATTGAGTCTAAAAGAGCTTCTAAACTACCACCTACGATTCTGAATAAATTACTAGAAAGCGTTCTTGAGTCATGAATATTTAAAAGATATTTTAAGCAAGTGATGTTATAGCGAAAACCTTTAAGTTAAAACCTTTAAGTGAATTTTGAAACTTTTACAGGAATTTGAGGTTATCATAAAGAATTAATATCTTAAAGAAAGCTGTAAAATATCGATGATAAGTGTTTTAGATTTATTTCTAAGCTTTGTTGCACGTTTAAAGGTTTTAGATATCTAACATAAGTCATTTCTATCATTTCCTTTTCTTGTTTTTTTGGATAAAATTATTGTTTTATTTCGATACGAAATACTTAAATTTTTAAAAATTAAGTTTTTCTATTGTAATTGTATTGCTAAATGCCTAAATGATAACAATTATTGTTTCCATTTAAATTTTAACAGTTTTCATTAACCTCGATAGTTAATACTTAATTCTGAAAGTATTGATAATCCATTAATTATCCAATACTGGTCAACGCAGTTTTATTAAAATTTAAAAACGATTTCAATTGCAAGATAATATTTTAAATTGAGTTTTCTACAATTCCTTTCTTTAAAATTTAATTGCATAAAAGTAATTATCATCATATAATAATTAATTAGCACATAATAAATTATAAATTATAATTAATTTATAATTAGTTATATAATAATTGGTATATAATGATGTAAACAATTACCATATGAAGGGCTGGTAGATACATGCTAGATATAAGCTAAAATTTCTAATTTCTGAGGAAAGCATTATTTTGATGACAATAACAATACCATCAATTTACTTGTTGACAATAAGATATATTCTGTGTATTTTGCTTCCATTTAGGGGATTCATATTTTTCTCCCTATCCGCAGTTTCCAAAATGTTATCCCAAAATATTGCTACTGGTAGACAGACCTTGGTTTAGAAACTCATTGCTGTTGAGCTAACATTGGAAGTTCCTCATGATATTCCTTACCAAAAATACAAATAAGTTCCACTCATATAGTCACTTGCAAATGGAGTTTCGCTTAATTAAGGAGAGCCCTTAATTTTTATGGTGGATTTAAAACTGTGAGGATACGGAATCCCGTCTCCATTTCGTCGAATTAACTTATTGATCAAGTTACATATCTATCAATGATAATAAGATTCGCTCTTCAACTTGTACATTTATGCCATTAAAAATTATCTACAGAGAACTCACAGTTCTGACTAACAACATTCCTTAGGAAAAGTTTCAACAGGCAAGACTATGGTAATCTATAATAACCTATGCCAACCATAGAAATTTACATTAAGCCCATGATAAATATAAAAATTGGTATGGTATTTATATGGCAAGACACCATAATCCAATAGTAGCAATAGATATTTCTTTGTCATTATATGGCTGAACACCATAACCTTATAGTACGATTAGAGGGAAGTACAGTACGCATATGACAAACTAAGGGAAACACACTTTACGCATGCGTCATTCATATGGAAGAGTGGACATGGTTGGTGAAGGAAACAGGAATGTTTTACTGTTACTCTGACGATGAAGATCATTTTTGCGTTAATTAAACCAATCCATCAAAAACATTAATACTTTTTCAATAAAGTTCGCCCACCTTATAGAAATTTATAGTTATTTAAAGTTATTTTTGATTATTTCAACCAAAAAACAGCATTTTAACTTCAAAAACTTTAACTTCCGATAAGTCGACGACAAAACATTTGCGTGACGCCGATATCTCGATGGAGCATTATTCGGCCAAAAAGAGTTTTTTTTAAAAATTGTTCTCGTTTTATTATTTTTTTTCTCGGATTTCTAACTAAATCAAGCTTTAAACTTTTGGAAAGTAATCAAGTACTGACTAGTTTCAATAACGGTTTTTTAAGTTTTTGAGCCCAGTCAATTTTATAAACGATTTGATAAGCTAGGACCAAACTAGCTCTCACGGCTACAATAATGTCGTGTGAATTTCTCTACCATCAAATGTTAGATTTTATGCCTTTCTATGATATTGTGCTCAAGTTTTGATGTTGAGATGAATTCTAGATTAATTAAGAGTAGAGAATCAACAAAATCTGTAAATTCATTCAATTTTAATTTTTTTTATTAGTCATATTACCTTTATTGTTTTCTAATTCATTTTTGCCATAAAGATTTAAACTATCCGGGTATCGTCTGGTAAGGGTTCTTTTCTTCCCTGCATAATTATTGTATTTTCGCATATATTTAATAACTTAATCTCTCATCTTAATTTTTCGTACTATTTTAATTATTCTTGTAGCATAATCATATTAATGAAAAGCCCCGGAAACTCACTGTGATTCAATGTCCCTTATGTATTATTGTACTATGTATAAAATTGCTATGTATAAAATTCCTATGTATAAATATCCTATGTATAAAATTCCCTATGTATAAAATTCCTATGTATAAAATTCCCTATGTTTAAATTTCCCTACGTATAGTTGTTTAATAAAACTTCCATAGGGCAATGAAGAAATGTTGCCATAACCTATAGAATAATTTCATCAAAAATTATAGCACACCATAGTTTTAAGACAAAAAACTTGCTATAAAAAATAAGAATGGAAATTCCAATGTGGTTTTACCTAAGGTAAAGTTTCTTTTTTTTTATTTCCAATGGCAGACATGAAAGACAAATTTGTAGCCAAGAACAATATAAAGAAAGAACAAAAAACGGAAACAAGAGCTACAAAAATAAAGAGTCTATAGGTCTGTAATAATGCATCTCGCCCGCCAATATCGTTCCCACAAGGGCCCAGGAGGAAGTGCAGGGCAACGTCTTAGATGGTTAGCGTCCATTTCTTCTTGTTGGTTACATAATGGACAAAGGGGGCTTGAAAAGATTTTAATTTTATACAGGTGTTTTGATAAACAGTCATGGCCAGTGGCGAGGCGAAAAAGGGCCACAGATTTTTCTCTTGGCCATGACGGAATATCTTTAATTCCTTCCAACCAGTCCTTATTTTTATTTGCTTCTTGGAGTTTTGCTTCAAATGTTGTTCGCAGAGAGATTTTTATTAGCCTTTTCGCGGTGTGGAAAGGAACTGGCTTAAGTGATATTTGTAGAATCTTGGCGGCTTTTTTGGCCAAGAAATCTGCAGTTTCGTTACCTTGAAGTCCACAATGCGCTGGTACCCATTGCATGGCGACATTTTTGTTGTGTTGGTCAAGCCTGTGAAGGGCTTGACGCCAATGTAGAATGTCGGCAGATGCGGGGGCTTTGGAGGAAGCAATAGCTTGGAGTGCGGCTTTGGAGTCAGAGAGGATGACTACGTTATTAAATTTCTCAAGGTGATTCTGTAGTTGTGACAGAGCTACGCTTATTGGCGATACTTCTGCATCGAAGGCTGTTCTAGACGAACCAATCGGGGTGTAAAATGAAAGTTGCAGGAAACTCCGGCTCCTGCATTAGTGCCTTCAGCCAATCTTGAACCGTCTGAGAATATATGTAGCCATTCGTTCTCTGGGTACAGTAAGTGCAAAGTCTCCAGGGCGATAGATTTTAAGACTTGATCATTTGTGTCTCTTTTGGAAACATCTTGACACAAGTTTAAACTCAGTGAGTATCTCTCTTTTTCAATAGGGCACTGACGGTAAAGTTAAACCATACACTTTTTCCTTATACGTGACAAATATTTACCATACGTATATGACAAAAATTTGCCATGATCTTGGGACAAAAATTTGTCATACGCTTATGGAATTTTTTTTCATACGTTTATATCGAAAGTGTATGATAAAATTTTAATACAGGCAAAACCCCGTAGGAATATCGGATGGTAACTTCTCATGGCCAACCTAGATCAAATTTTGCAAAAAGGCGCATATATTAAATATTAATCTGTAACAAATTGCTATTTTGAACCCAATCATTTCATTTACTATATAACGTCTGTATACCAGATTACGGGTAAACCGTCGACTCTAAGAATACAACATTCACCATGAATTTAGATAAGTACAATTTTAAACAAATTACGATGTCCTATTTTCAATTTTTTAATCATATAATTTTTTTACTGAGACTTTCAAGAATCGAAATTTTTTGATTGCTTTAGCGGAAACCATTGCTTTAAAGTAAATTATAAATGATTCAGTTTTGTCAAATGTTTAAAAGATAGCATCAGTGATAATTCGCTAGTTTTCAAGTTGTTTATTGCGCTTTCTGTAATATCTAATTATTTTTTATTCGTTTCGTCTGGTTAACGGAATAAAAAAATAAGTTTTGTTCTGAAAAGGAAAATTAATGGAGAAATAATACTAAATTGCTTAGGATAAGCTGAAAAAATACCAACATTATTATTGACGCCGAAGATAATAAATTAATTTTGTTAATATTTACTAATTGAAGCAGAGTAGTAAACTAAGTGCGAATGTTTGACGTCAATTATGCTTACAGAGTGAAATAAAATAAAAGCTATGTCCTTAAGTAAAATTATTGGAGAAAATGTACTTACTTGTTATGGAAAACCGTAAAAAGTAGCCCTACTTTTATTGACACCAACGATGCGTAATTTTGGTAGTAGACACTACTGCCATGATGAAAATTAATTGACTTTTAATATGTACCAAATATACTCCTAAATCGGTACAAAGTATTTGAGTAAATTTGGTGCCTATTCCAGCTGCACCAATACTTTACATTTTTATGATAGATACTACGGAAATGGGCTCTTACGGCTTCTCGAAGATTTAAGTACAGGAGGAAATTGTTTGAATGTGGTAAATTTTAAATACAAGTTATCATATGGTACTGAATACACTAAATCTTTTTATTTTGATTGAATGAACTACTAAATACGTTTTTTGCTTATTCTAGTGACGTGAAGCCACCGGGAAGGATACAAATAATAATAAATAATTATAAATAAAAAACATTGGTATTATTTTAGCTTCATTATTTGCTTCGGCATTTGTCTTTCAATTTTGTGCATGGTTTTTTAGTTCTGTTCAGCGCTGATTTATTGAATGCTTTGCTCGACCAGTACGAAGAACGGTTATTTAGATATTAAAATATATATTATTAAAGATATTTAGGCTTTTAGACTAAATGTCTTTAGAAATAAACCCTAAACGTATCAGATTCAGAGCACTGTTTCTTATCCTTTATTACTCTTAATAAGGATACTTTATGAAACAGACATTATTGTAGACAGATTTATTTTAAATTTGTATACTTACATATAGAATCTTAGTGATTGAAACATTTCTTATTATTCAAATTCTATTTGAATATCCTATTTAAATATTTCTTTCTGACTTACACTAACTATTTAGAAATATAAAAGTATCATACGTTTTATTGGATAGTTTCTTAAATTATTTCAAGATGCATTTCACACAGATAAGAAAGACATATAAGTAATGCACAGAAGGAGCTATATAGGTGACTTCACGTGATACTAAAAGTACTTGATACTATTAATGGGAGATGACCAAATAGGATATAATTGTGGTCATTTTAGATTAAGATATCAAAGTGGACATTCCCTTCATTATCCTCATAGGGTCAAAGTGATTTACTAATGGGCAGTATAGAACAATTTAGTGAGTAACTGTTTAATATAATGGATTTACCTTAATGTCTTGAAATTCTGGAATGGCTACACAAATCAGTCCTACAATACCATAGATTTACATAACTGAAACATATTTATGCATTATAGAAATTAAACTGGGCAAAACAGCTTTTGGATCAAGAATTCAAGTTACTTGAAGGATTATTTTAGAATTTGAATCACCTTTTTGACTCGAAATGATTATTTAAGAAATCTGAAATTTAAAAACAAAAGTGTTTATCGAAAAAAGCGCAGTATAACTTTCATTCATTTATGCTAGCAACTATTTTGAGTATATTAATTTGAAATTAATTGCTTCAAGAATATTAAGTAAAACGTAACCTCACCGTTAAACACTCCGTATCAAATTACTGTATAAAGTATTGGGAATTTTGGAGCTTCATCCGTAAAATCCATTTTACCTTGAATTCCATCTTATCCGTAAAATATAATATTGTAATTTTCATAATAATATTCATTTAACTAGAGTGATTCATTGATTTTACAGTAATTATTACAATGAAAACTGCGATGCATTCGATTTTTTGTTCCGTAACATGCTCCAGTAAAAAAGGAATTCACGGTACAAAGTACGGGAGCCATGTGTGCCGTCATATTTTACCGTAATTTGATATGGAGTTTCTTACAGTGCATCACGTTGGATTTCACGTTGGATGCAAAATGTTGCGAATGTCTTTATTCTTTTTTAGGTTAATTTCCCATATATAATAATATAATAGTATTATAATATTTAATAATGCAAAATAATCGATAAATATAAAAATGAATATCAGCGTTTGGGGGGGGGTTGCGTGTGTGTCCTTTATAGACTACAAACAAGGAGCTTTGCTTACTTCAATAACGTAAAGTCACCGAAGATTGCAACATATAATATTAAAATTAAAGAAATAAATTTATTTTTGCTATATTAAATGAAAAACTTAGTGGAAGAACCAGGTAAGTGACATGTTCAGAACGAGAAAGGATTTTTTATCCATTTATTTTATTACCAATTTATTAGAAGGTGGGACTAACAAATTCATTACATTATTTGGTTTACTACTGCCTAATTTAAAATAAAAATCATGCAAGCTTAACTAAAAAGTTATATGGATTACTTATGTCAAGAAAAAAGTGAAAGCAGAAACTATCTATTGTATTAAACATACCTATATTGACGCTACATTACTACATTAATTCCCCTAAAAATGTGATTCACCTGGTTCTTCCATCAAGCTCTTTAATTGTGTCGGTATATGCCTTTTCAGTTTTGAGCACGATTGCCTTGTGTTTCTCAGTGCTAATTTATTGATTTTCTTCTTTTTTATTCACCCCGTGAGAAGAACGGGTATTCATCTAGTCTTTTATATCAATCATTAATGTAAGAAATTGCATTTTATTATCAGTTAAATAGTATTTTTAAGCTTGTGTGTTTGTGAGTTTTAACCTGCCATAATGAGTTTAAAACATGAAAATAAAGAAAATCTACCTTATTTTCTTGAAAATTGGAAAAAATGTAAATTAATAGCTATTTTAAAGCTTACCATTGCGAACTTTTTTTTTTAAATTAACTGTCTTTTCTCAACGCAGTTCCTGAAAGAATTGCTTACGTTAAAATAGATTTTCGAAGTTTATCAAAATACTCGATGTTATGTAACTGTCGCGGCTTCGTTACTGTTATTCAAGACTATAACATAAGTCACACTAATCATCGCCAGATTTGCTGGTTATGAAAAAGACGTAAAATGTCAGTATAAATAGAGGAATAATTTTCCTGGAAAATACATTTTAAAAAAAATACATGAATAAAAAACATTTCGAACAAAAATATTTGTTTTTTCAAAATCGAAAAGAAAATTCAAGCTCTACGTTGATCAGCTACATTGTACGATTGTTCGTAGAACGCTGTCGGTAAAAAAAAAATTCGATTTGGGAAAAAGTTAAAGCAATAAAAATTAGGAATATTTATTATTTTTATGGGTCCTAAGTGGAAAATCTTTCAAATACACTATTTAGAAAAATAACTAAATAATGACAATTTAAAAAATTATTTTACTGTCTTAGGGTTTTTAACGAATATTATTCTTTTTTTTTATTGTAATCGGGTTTATCAGAAGAAAAAAAAAACACGACAGTTATTATAAGTAAAGTTGACTATTGCATTCAAATAACGCTACTGAAAGAAAAAACAATTGTAAATTTATATCCTAACAACATATAAGTAAATAAAAAATTGCGCAGTCCAATAAAAGAGTGTTTAATAATTAATAGTTTAGATAAAGAACGCTTTTGTCATCTAGTGTTTTTTAAAATATCAATTATCAGCTTCAGTAAAAATAAAATCCTTTTAAAATTATATTTTATTTATAAAAAGGTTGGTTAGTTTATTGCTAAATAGTTTAAATACCCCTTCCTTGTAGCTGGAAAAAATGAATAATAAAGTCTATAAAATGGTCATAATTAACTCACCGAAATCTAGCACAATAAGGAAAAGCATGTAGAGAAACAATTAATAAAAATTAAATAACTATATATTTTTTATTACTTGGTACCCTTTTCAGTGACTTTACTTTATACGATTAAGGAAATCTTGTTTTAATAGTTCAATTTCTAAAATTAAAAATTAACTGTATTTCGTATCACGTGGTTATTGCTCGCGACCATATATGGCAGTACTTTTACTTTCGTTACTTGTACCGCCGGTACAAGTAAAAAGTACGTACTTTTACTTGTACTTCGTTACTTTTTAAATTTAGTACTTTTACTTGTACTTTCGTTACTTTTTTAGGGAAAA